CTCTATCTCAGGCATCTCTTTTCTCTGGGTAGGGTCCCACTCTCGGCTCTTCTCTGTTGATGGTCCCAGAGACCTCCACTCTTATCCTGGAGAATTAATCACTCCCTTCCTTGTAACAAAATGTCTACTTTTGCATTTTCAACCCTCATAATCCGTCCTGATAACCATTATTTACTATAGTATCACGAGTTACCCATCTGTATTTCCTTTCACCAGCTCCGCCCAGATAGATTGAATAGTACCTACTGGAGATTCTGCCTTCCTCCATGCTCCGTAGCACTAGGTTCCTTCTTGAAAGCTTGTAAGCCAGTCACTTCTTGCCTTTGTAGTCTCCCCTCCCCATGTGAGTATCCAATGTCCAAGTTGCCCATCTCCGTCCACTCTGTGTGTGGGGGTGTGTGTAAATTTTTCTTGCTGTAAGGATTTGTTCCTTCTTTTGAGTTGCTGCACCATAGGTATAGGTCAAGTTCATCAGACTTATCAGCTCACTCTTTTTTTTTTTTTCCCCCCCTCTTCTTTTGTCTGCTGGTTGAGCTCCGATCATCTAGTCATCCAGTCCAGGTCATGTGGGTATCATCTGCAAGTGTGGGTGCTCCTGTGCATGCATATGCCCTCTCTTCCCGTCAGCCGATAGCTCCACTCTCCTCTCGAGTCCTCCGTGGCCACGCCACTGACTCTGGGCCCAAGAATCCTCAGGTCTCTTCACAGTGCTTGCCAACCAGGTTCCCAACTGGGTCCACAGAAGTCCACTGAACATTGTAGGGTTTAGCTTGCCACTTCATTGCTGCTTTTACCTCACTTCCCCCCATCGGTTATATGTGTTCTGCCCATTTTTAATTGGGTGTTTTTCTTTTTGTTGTTATGCTGTAAGATATCTTTATGGATAGTAACATTTATCAAATACTTATTGTTGTTGTTAAGTGCCATCAAGTCAGTTCTGATTCATTGCAACTCTGTATAGGATTCCCAAGGGCCAGCTGGTGGGTTTGAACTGCGTTTTACACTCCAGTGCTCATCCTACTGCTCCATAGCAGGAGATCATCAAATACTTAAGGTTCTCAAAACTGGTCTCTCATTCTGTAGTTTGTCTGTTCACTTTACCGATAAAGTCCTTTGATGAACAAAACTGTTTTATTTT